GACAGCTTTGGGCTCGGGTGGTGTTCTCATGTGCTCTGAGTGGCATGGGGTCGACAGTGGACTCTCAGGGGGCCCCAGTGGAACAGTTGGCCTTGCACAGTGACTCACTTGGGTCAGGGCTCATTCTGCCATGCCGTGGATCCTGCATGTCCTCCCAAATGCTGGGCGGCCGCTCTGCCCGGAGAGAGCTCCCGCCAGTACTGAGGGGGGTGTCTTCCCGCAGCGACACCATCTGTGACCTGGGGGGTGTCCACGAGCTGGCGAACTACGGGGAGTACTCGGGGGCTCCCAGCGAGCAACAGACTTATGACTACGCCAAGACGATTTTGTCCCTCATGACTCGTGAGAAGCACCCTGACGGTGAGCCCCTCCCCTCCCCCCTCCCCGTGGGTGACGGGGGGCAGCTGGGTAGCTTGTATGCCCAGTGCTGGGCAGCCTTGGGGTGGCCAGTGGCCTGAGGGTCCCTGGGCTTCTTGACTGCACCATAAGCTGTGGAAGCACCCTGGGGACGGAGATTAGGAGAGGACGGGGAAACATGTGCCCAGAGCCCCAAGGGTAGGGTGAGGGTGACAGTGTGCCCTTGCTTCAATTGCCAGTACCTGGTCCCAGCTTCCCCCTGCCACCTGTCCTGTGCATGGGGACCCTGCCCTGCAAGGCCAATGGGGAGAGCCCACCAGAGACATCCGAAGCCCTCTGAGAACGATGGTGAGGCTCAGTGGGCTCTGAGCCCCAAGGTGTAGGTCACAGAGGGTGGGGTGGATCTGGCTGCTCCCACCTCAGGTGAGACCACCCAGCGCAGCCCCTGCCTCTGCACAGAAAACAAGGTCAGCCGACCCTCATTGAGCAGTGAGACCTCCCCTTCCACCAGGCTGCTGGTAGGTTGTCGGGGTCACCTCTCTAACACTTTATCTCTGTGTTCCAAACTCAGGTAAGATTCTCATCATTGGAGGCAGCATTGCAAACTTCACCAACGTGGCCGCCACCTTCAAGGTAACCCGCCGCAGTGGGATGCAGGTGGAGGCCCTGAGTCCCTGTGAGTGCCCCGTCCAGGGAGGCCCAGGCTGCCCCGCCAGGGAAGACAGCAGATTGGGGGTGGGGTGTCTGGGGCAGCGTGGGCAGGGCCCCCGGGAGCAGGCTCTGGGGAGTTGGAGGAGGCCTTGAGCACTTTGTTGGAAGACTCCCCTGGTCCCCACAGTTCCTGGTGGTCTCCCAGCATCCTTGGGCTCCTCAGCCTGGAGCACAGGGTGGAGAACCCCGCCGCGACTTGCAAGCCAGGCCTCTCCAGATTCAGGGCCGGCCCCTTGGCAGGGCGGGGGCCTCCTCGGGGGCCATTTAGGAACCCCGTCTGCTTTGAGGATCATGTGTAAAAAAAAGTATCAGCTGGGACGCTCTGCACCCTCAAGAAAAGACAGGGGGGTGGAGCTCAAGAAGAGGTGGGAGCCAAGCTCCTCCAGTCGGGGTCAGCATGTCCAGTCTGTTGGGTGGCAGGGCTGGGCCAGGCTCTGTGTGCGCAGCCTCAGGAGAAGCACCTTGAGTGATTAGCCCCAGCCGACCAGCTTCTGTGGGGGGAGGCCAACGGACCCTCCCCTCTCCACACTGCCCTATTCCCAAAGGGGAGGTCGGTTTTGAGGGCTGTTCCCCAAAATCACTTCAAGCTTTGCAAGACATTGACCCTTAAGAAGGCCTGGCCCTGCCCCTGGCATAGTTCTCCCTCCCAAACTGCCATCCAGTAACCTCACAGGCCCGCAGACACGACTGAGCAAGAAAGGTGCGTGCTGGCCCGAGGGGGGTGGACCAGCCTCCCCATTATCACCTGGCAGCATCCCCTGTTAGTACATGCTGCCGGACTGCGTGTCGTCTGTGGCCCGGGGTCTTTGTTTATCAGAGCGACAAATCCACCCTGCCTCGGCCTGGGTGACGGGTTTCTGTCCTCTCTTCGTGTGTCCAGGGCATCGTGAGAGCGATCCGGGACTACCAGGGCCCATTGAAGGATCATGAGGTCACCATCTTTGTCCGAAGAGGCGGCCCCAACTATCAGGAAGGCTTACGGGTGATGGGAGAAGTCGGTAAGCTGGGGACCTCCCCGCCCACCCCCAGTGTTGCTGCCCTACACCAAGAGATTCCTGAAAGGGGGGTCAGCTTTGATCCCTCTTGTGTGCCCACCTTCCTTTTTGAATATGCAACCCTGGACCCTCTGGTCTGTGTCCTTTGCCCTGGAGTTGCCACATGCAGCCTCCGGGGCCAGGAGCAGTGGCAGGTGAAGTAGGGATTTAAGTACAGGTACAGGGACACAGAAAGGAGACAAGCTGGTGAGGTTGCTCTTTGACTGGACAGACAAAACCTTCCTATGCTCCCATTTTTCCCATTTGGGAAATACTGAATTCCATTCTGTTGTCCCAAGAGGCTCCAAGTCCTTGTTTTCCCCTGAAACCAAGGGCCAGGCCATGGAGGACAGCAGGGTGGACACCCAGAGGTTGACAGTGATGTGCACAAGAGGGATCTGCTGGGGTGAGGGAAAGAGGGCGGGGGCAGGCAGGTCTCTTTCAGGGGGGCACTGGAGCAGCAGCTAGGCGAGGATCAGGGAGAGCTCTGTGGGGGCAGCCTGCAGGAGATGAGCCGGGTGGTGAGGGATCGGGAGGCCAGCAGAGAACGTGGGCATCAGGCTGAGGGTGGGGAGAGTCCGGACCAGCCGGCTGTGGAGACCGTGGGCTCCAAGAGAGCCTTCGGGTGTGTGACACTTTCAAGGGAGCCCGTGTGGATCTGTCAGCAGATGACCTTCCAGGAGACTTGTTGGGGGTGGAAACAGGGCAGCTGACCTGCCTGGGCCTCTGATCTGAACAGTGGATTACGTATGTTCTGCCCCGCAGGGAAGACCACCGGGATCCCTATCCACGTTTTTGGCACTGAGACGCACATGACGGCTATCGTGGGCATGGCCCTGGGCCACCGACCCATCCCCAACCAGCCGCCTACAGCCGCCCACACGGCAAACTTTCTCCTCAATGCCAGCGGGAGCACATCGGTAGGCGCCAGCCTTCCCCGCCTTCCAGGAACCATCTAGTCTTAGCTGTGACTGCCACCTACCCCTCCTTCCAGAACATTCCGCCCGGGAGCGCTGGGAAGTTGTCAGGGAAGTTAGTACAAAGTTGGTGTCTGGGTCTCTGAGCTGCCCCAGTGGCCATCCACTTCTGACCTTTGGCGCCCAAGGCTGATGGCCACAAGGCAAGGTCAGATGCACCCCCAGCCCCATCCTTTTTACCTCATTCTAATGCCAGCTACCCTGCGGATGGCATGCTGCTGTGGTGGCCTTCTAAAAAATTAATCGCAGTGAGCACACAGCTCACGTACAGGACTCACGATTATGGGCTCTCTGGGGGAAATGACCAGGTTATACTTGAGGTGAGGAGTGCTCAGGATGCAGTCAGTATGGTCTCTTCCGCCAAGGAGGCAGGCCGGCCGTCCTCTGGCCCTCAGGCTCTTGCCCTGGCCTCTGCCCTGTTCAGACAGTGCTACCAAGCCTGATGGTTGCTCATGCCTGCTCACAGGGAGCCTGCCACTCCACTGCAAGCCTCGCCTTAAGGGCACTCAGCCCCAAACTGCGGCAGCCACCCCAGTTCGCCTAATGATGTGCCCACAAGCCAGCCCCTCCTGCCCCAAAGCACGCAGCCTTACTTGCTCTGTGGCCTGGGACGTCCACCTACTCTGTCTCCTGTGGCTCCTGATTCTGTTGCTGCTGCTCCTCTGGGTCACGGTTGTCCCCTGGGTCCAGGAGCCTCACTGCCCAGAGCTCTCAGATCTAGAGGACATGCACCACTCCTCGCCCTTGCCGGTAGTCAGCAGGTCCCGCCGCAGGATGGCAATCACAATGAACTCTGAATAGTCACTCAGAGCTGGGTCATGATCCAATCAGTATCTTACTCCAGCTTAACCTGTTTGGAAGGAAAGGCAAGGTCATTTGGTGGGCGTAACTATAAAGACGGTGGCTGGAAGAGCCACACGGAACAACTGTACATTCCACCGGAATCATGGAAAGAGCAGGGGGTTTTACATCCGACCTGATGGTTACTCCTTGCTGTGGGAGAGACCTTGGCTACTGGGGTCTTCAGTTGGCTCATCTGCTAGCTGGGTACAGGACTGGTTCCCACCCCAGAGGGCTGCTGGAGCACCGGGTGGGGAGCAGGTGGTGATGGGTAGTGCTGTTGGGCATTCTGCCTGATGTCTTTGGCACCTTAAGGACCAATGGCTTTTTGCCTTTTCCTCCTGTGATTCCTCCCTCCTTGTCCCCAGACCCCAGCTCCGAGCAGGACAGCGTCTTTTTCTGAGTCCAGAGCTGACGAAGTGGCCCCTGCAAAGAAGGCCAAGCCTGCCATGCCCCAAGGTAACTCCACACGCCTCAGTCCACGCCGGGATGACCTCCACTGACTGTGTGTTGGTGGAAAGCCGTTTGGGGAGTGGCAGGGCTGGGGCATGAACAGGGAACACGGATGAGGTGGCTGGGGCCCAAGGATGGGGTCTCCCCATTCTGAAGATCCGAGTGGGCTGGGATCACCTTGCTCATCCCCCTCTGACTTTCAACCCCCTTTCTTCCTGGGCTGGAAGGGGAGAAGGGGACCTGTGGCAGTGGACACATTTCTCAGACGCTGGCACAGATGGCAGGAGCTGAGACTCAGGGCCGCAGACCCGGCCATCCTGCCATCTCTGGCTCTTCCAGCCTCTCCCAGGGCCCAGCTGTAGAAAGCAGGCCGCGCTCCCCTCCCTGCCCCCCGTCTGGATTTGTATGATTCATTCCTGCTGGGCCCATCAGACAGGCCTGGGCTGGCAGCTCACGCCCCACCAGCATTAGAGAACCTGCACAGGTGGTTAGCTGCTGTGTCCTGGGCAGCCTCCTCCGGTTCCATAGCTTGCTTACGCCTTGGTGGGCGATGTCGACAAGCCTGGGAATTCCACAGTGGAGGCCACCACCCTGAGATCTCCAAACCAACCGCTTTTTTGGTCCATAGTCGGGGGGATGGGTCCAGGCCCCACACCGGTCTGGGTGTCATGCTTCTTGGGGACAAAACGTGACTGGCATAAAGAGGACAGGGCAGGTCTCGCTGGGTACAAACTGTCCCTCCATAGGGCACCCTTCTCTGGGGAGGACTCCTTCCGCCTGGCCTTGCGTTGCCTTTCCTCGTTTCCGCTCTGACGCCTGTCACTCCTGCAGGCCTCCCCCCTCTTGTGGAGGGAGGCCATGATGAGGGTGTCGCGTCAGAGCCGTGTCCCCAGCCCGCCCTGCTCCCACGCTCCCTACAGAGCCTCTAGTTGTCAGCCGGTTACTCAGTCGCCTTGGTCATTTTCTTTGACAGATTCAGTCCCAAGTCCAAGACCCCTGAAAGGTAGGCTGCCCCCCACCCGTCCCCAGCTCCGCGTGTGGCTTTTGTTTTCAGTTCCCTGTCGCCGTGTGCTTCCTTTCCTCTGATGGGTTGCAGTGTTGTCTGATATATACATATTTTTTACCCCTGCCTTGGTGGGACCTGCCCCCAAACCCTAGTCTTCCTCCCTTCCTACCCCCTGCCTAGTATGTGCACCCCTCGTTGTTCCTCGCGGCGGGGGAAGGGGGGGGGCAGAGGCTGCGAGGGAGTGAGAGCCAGGCCCTGGCACCAAGGAGGAGTGGCGCAGCAAGAGGGCAGTGCTGGCGGCAGGTCACCCCCGTCACTTCTTGGCATGTCACCAGCTCTGCCCTTTGCTGCTGCGCCACCGCCCCTAGTCGCAGGGCTCGTGTGGTAGGAGAACAGACAGCTAGCGAGACGGTGTGCCGTGTTTCTGTAGCTCAGCTCTCCCGAGTGTGAGAGGCCCGTGCCTGTCCACAGACACCCGCGGAGGGAGGGCCTGGGTGCTGGCACAAACAGTTAAGGACCCCGCTGTTCATCAGAGGTTGGAAGGTCAGAGGTGCCACAAAAAGCCTGAAGCCGGAGAGCCCTGCGGAGCAGCTGTGCTGTGTGTGCCTGGGACCACTGAGTCGGAACCCCCTGCCGGGCAGCTAGCAGCACTCCCTCCCATACACATGCCATGCCAACTTTCACCTGCTCCCAGCCGGGGCTGCCACTGAACTTAACCACATTGGCCACGCCGCAGTGGGAGATTTTGTAGAGGGGTGGGTCTTCCTCAGAGGATCATCCTTGACCCCTGGCTGAGAGGAGGGGGAGGAGCAGTTAGGACAGGTCTCCCCAGGACAGACAGGAATGACTGCCCTTGGACACAGCTGCTTTTAATTCCTGCCATCTGAGCCGGCCGGATCAGGGGCAGAGGGTTGGTGGTAAGGATCTCTGTCCGGCCTTGTGCTTGTCAGCTGCCGAGTTGTGCCTGAGAAGGGGAGGGGAGGGTTCCAGGAGAGAGGCCTGGGCACGCCTGAGCCCTGTGTGCCACTGGGCTGAGGAGCACCCCTTCCACCATCACTCCTCTGCCCGAGAGTAGGGGAGCACTCTTGGGCAATCTCTCCTGAGCCCCTCTCGGTGGGCTGAGGGTGGGCTGGGCTGCGGGCCACTGGGCGAGGCTGCACAGTAGAGCCACAGAGCCTTCCGTTCTTACACAGCTGGGACTCTGAGGCGGCGGGACCATCACCTGGTGTCTCAGGCCTTCAGCTCCTGGGACCGGAAGGGAGAGAAATCCTTCCCTTGCTCTGTGAGCTCACTCACCAAGGGAGCCCAGAAGGGCCCAGGGGACAGTCAGCCCTGGTATTTGCAAAATCCAGAACTTTCTGTCATCGGGGCTAACTGGCTGTGTTGGAACCTCGGGGCTGAAGGGCCAAGGGGAGTTGCCTCCTGTGGGGCAAGCTTCTCTTCCATGCGCTGATCCACCGTGGCTAGCCTCACTGCACAGGTGCAGCGAGCTCAGTGATACCAGACGGCTGGGAGCTGGATGCACTGCGCTCCCGGGGGGGCTGCCCACCTGCTCCCGGATCTGCAGGAGCTGGAGGACCTCTCTGGGCCAGCTGCTTTGTTTCCTCCTTTTTTTTGACACTCACCCCTTTCCTCCCTTCTGGCAAGCCCAACCAGGAGCTTCCAAATATCCAAACTTGCTACTATGAGTCGATTTTGTTAACCACAGGGCCAGCAGTTCAAAAGCACCAGCTGCTCCTCAGGAGAAAGATGAGGCTTTCTCCTCCCATACAGATTTCCAGTCTCAGAAACCCCCAGGGCCGTTGTACTCTGCCCTAGAGGGTCTCGGAGTTGGAATGAACTTGATGGCAATGAGTTTGCTTTTGGTTTGACCAAGATCCTTGTCTGAGCAGAAAAGAACCTCCCGGCAGAGGGGCCGTATCGCTGCCCTGCTGCCCTCAGCCAGGGATCGCCTCTGAGCAAGAGCTACCCAGAGGGCCACAGCCCTGGCCGCACACACCTAGAACTCGGGAGAATTCAGACCCTGGCCTGGTTTACATCCAGATTTACATGGAGATAGGGACTGTTGGAGAGTTGTTTAAAGTCCTGAGGGTGCCCCAAATGGGAGAAGCTTTTAATTATAATTATCTATCCCAATGGCTTTGAAAATGATCTGGCAAGACTTCATATGCTCCAGAGGCAGGCAACACCTCTTGTGAAGTTAAGTAAGCCCTGTATGCATCTCCAGGTCAGCAGTTCAAACCCACCAGCCGCCCTGCAGGACGAAGATGAGGCTGTTTGTCCCCATGTCGAGTTGGGCTTGGGCAGCCAAGGGGACAGCTGTGCTTTGTCTCTCGGGGCGGCTGTGAGTCAGAATTGACTCGATGGCAGTGAGCCCCGTTCTGGCTTTGGTGGGGATCCCTTCCTTGTGCTCTTCGGGGGGCCTCTTCTTGTACGGGGTGCCCTTTCTCTGTAGATGTCACACGGGCCACGCCCCTTAGCATTTTGTGCACTCTTACCTGCTTCCAGAAGAAAGCTGAGGGAGCTCTTCCCCAAGTTCTCAGACTCCTGTCCCCTCACCATGCATTTGCCATTTGGACGTCCCGCCGCCCATGCCCGTGGGCAGCCCCTGGCCCTGTGAGCTTCCCAGGGGGTGTGTTCTGGTACAGTCTCTGTGTCTTTGCCCACCAGGGAAGAGTGCCACCCTCTTCAGCCGCCACACCAAAGCCATCGTGTGGGGCATGCAGACCCGCGCCGTGCAGGGCATGCTGGACTTTGACTACGTGTGCTCCCGAGACGAGCCCTCAGTGGCCGCCATGGTCTACCCGTTCACGTAAGTCGCCCCAGCAGGAGGCCTGAGACAGCTGTCATGCAGGATGCCCTCACCTGCTCCCCGCCCCCTTCTGAGGCAGATTGAGGACCCAGCTGGCTCACCCACCTTGCTGGGGAGGGGGTCTGTCCATCTGAGAGACCGGTGTCTTCAGTGCCCCTTCCATCAGTTTCCCACTCGATGGAAGCTCTTTCAGCACAGACTCTGCCTTCTGGAAGTTTCTCCTCTCAGCTTCTCCCTCCTCAGCTCCACAGAGAATAAACCTCTCAGCCCTGATGGGGGGATGGTGCCTTCATCCCTTCCTCTCCTCCCGCCTTTCTCCAGTGGGGACCACAAGCAGAAGTTTTACTGGGGTCACAAGGAGATCCTGATCCCCGTCTTCAAGAACATGGCGGATGCCATGAGGAAGCACCCAGAAGTTGACGTGCTGATTAACTTTGCCTCCCTGCGCTCAGCCTACGACAGTACCATGGAGACCATGAACTATGCTCAGGTGTGTGGCTGGGCCCTGGGAGCCAGGTGGGGTTCACCACCTGTTGCAAAGGACTTGGGCTTTGGGAGCGGCCTTTTGTCTGGGCAGAAGAGGCTGGAGGCACCTGATCTTTAGAGGGTCGAGGAACAACTGAGGGCAGGGTTGAGGGGCTCCTTCAGTGACCTTGGAGACTATCATCAGGAAGCTCTGGTGGTGTCGTGGTTTCCAGTTGGGCAGCTGGCCGCCCCCCACCCCCCAAAGGTCAGCAGTTCGAAACCAGCCACCGCACAGGGGAACGAGGAGGCCGTGTGCTTCCGTACAGAGTCACCATCTCAGAAGCCCCCGGGAGCAGTTGTACCCTGTCCTATGGGGTCGCTGTGAGTCGGCGTGGACTCCTGGGCCGTGAGCTTGTGTTTGGAGCCGGTCACCTGCCCCTTCCGAAGGGCTGTTCTGCACCTTCCGAGACCCGCTGTAGACATAGAAGCAAAACCACTTCCCTCTCATTGCAAGGGAAGCAGAAACATGTTTGAATAAGGATCCCTCAGCAGAGGAAATACCCCCTCGTGTCGTCAGCCCAGAACCACAGCGGCTGACAGCCACCCTTCTTGACATCGTCCTGGGGCTCACACACATGCTGTCACAGGCAGCTCTCTGATCATCCACGCCCAGCCCTCAACCCCCTCCAGACCACTGTACCCATGGGGACCCCCGATGGCTGCCTCAGGTCTTGTGACCAGTGTCCTTGGGTTACATTTGCGCGTCATCCTTCCTACTGCGTCAGCCTGGGCCTCCGAGCCACCCCTACTCCCCACGGGCCACTGTGAACGCCTACTGGTGACCAGAAGGGGCCTGCCTCCTCAGACCCCTGCTAGCCCTGGATGTTGGCGTTGACAACATACTTGCTAATTCGATGAGGCACAGAAAGAAAGCAGACCTGCTCACGCCCAGGGCCAAAACTACCCACCGCCTGGTTCTGTCAATAAAGCTTTATTGAGACACGCTCACAGGCGGACACATTTCCCATGGTTGCTTCCACGCGACAAAGGCAGCGTTGCAAGAATCCCGCAGAGATCACATGATCCACAAAGCACTTGCTCTCCGGCCCTTTACGGAAAACCTTGTTGCCTGCTCTCTGCTCTAGGGTTGGTTTTTTTTGGGGGGGGGGGGGCCTCCCTTCTTCCCGCAGCCCACCCTCTGGTCTGAGCGTGGTAACAGCTCTTTACTCTGAGTTCTGCTGGCCCAGTGACCTGTGGGGACAGAGATCCCTAAAGAGGAAACTATAGCCCCTGCTGTGTGAGCAGGGCCTCGGGGAGGGAACAAGGGCTGGAGTCATCACAATGTCCCCCCTCCTGGCCATCCAGTCAATGCCAACTCCTGTGACCTTACAGAACAGAGTCCAACTGCCCCCGGGGGCTTCCGAGGCTGGGAACTCCACGGGACTAGAGAGCCTGGTCTTTTTCCTGTAGGAATTTCAGGAGGGAGAAAAGATTTCCAGTCTGGCGGTAGCCGGTAGCTCTCGCAGGGTTACTGGACCACTTGGGTGGTGAGCAGCTGTCCGCTGCTTTCTGGGGGTTGGCTGCTGAGAGCTGAGCAGGCCTGTGGGAAGAAAGAGGTGCTTCCTGTGAGCAGTGGCCAGTGACAAGGGGACACTTGAGGGTGGGTCGCTGAACCCTTGCTGCCTCATTGCCCCATGAACACCTTCTCTAGATCCAGACCATCGCCATCATAGCCGAAGGCATCCCAGAGGCCCTCACCAGGAAGCTGATCAAGAAGGCTGACCAGAAGGGAGTGACCATCATTGGACCTGCCACCGTGAGCTCCCCACTCCCTGCGCCGTTCTTGTAAAGGTGTAGATGAAGGCTAGTCCCTATCCGCCGTCTTCCTCTTAGGCGGAAAAGACCCTGGCTGTGCTTCTAGTTAACTTCTTAAGTTGCCATTTTCTCTACAATGTTTCTGGAGGGAAAGAAGATTCTTCCTAAGCAGAAAACACACTTAGCAGACTTGTTTTCTCACTGGCAGGGGGGTGGGGGTGAGGTGGGGTAGGAGATCTCAGGGCCATGTGGTTCCCCGGAGCCCTGTGATTAGTCGGGGGCTCCTTGCCTCCCTCCCCTCCCTCACTGCTGTTTCTGGCCTGCAGGTTGGCGGCATCAAGCCGGGATGTTTTAAGATCGGGAACACGGGCGGGATGCTGGACAACATCCTGGCCTCTAAGCTGTACCGCCCTGGCAGCGTGGCGTACGTCTCCCGGTCTGGGGGCATGTCCAACGAGCTCAACAACATCATCTCCCGGACCACAGATGGTGTCTATGAAGGCGTGGCCATTGGTGGGGACAGGTGAGCAGAGGGCTGGAGCCCAGGCCCACGGGAACTCAACTCAAAGTCCAGCCACTGAGCACCTGTGCTCTTGCTGCTGGTCTGGCCTGCGTAGACCATCAGGGAGAGGGAGGCGCTGGGAAAGGCACGTGGCTTCAGGGTCAGTCTGCCTGATGTCTGAGGTGTGGCCGTTGGGAGGCAGCAGAGTGCATGGTTCCAAGGGCCAGTTCTGAAATCAGACCCCAGGGCTTCAAATCCCATTTCCCCGTCTTCTGGGGGAGGGCTGGGCTGTTTGACCTCCTGAGCCATGCCCCCCTGTGAGGTTGTCAGAGGGGCACTGGAGATCATGTATATTAAGCATCTGACGGGGCCTGCTACTCATAAGGTGTCTCATGGTTGATCTCTCAGAAGTAGACAGTCTACTCCATCTTCCGGCACTAGATGTGACCCCGTCTTTCTCGGCTAGTCATCAAGGGTTTCAGTGGTTGATCTTTCAGAAGTGGACAGTCTGATTCTCCTTCATGGCCTGTTCATAGTCTGTAAGCTCCGTTGAAACCTGTCCACCTTGGGTGACCCTGCTGGTAGTTAAGATATTGGTGGTATAGGTTCCAGAATCATACCTTTGCAAAGGCCACCGTGGTGTAAGCAACTAGTGTATCGTCAGGAGCGCCGAGTGCCCAGCACAGGGTACCTGAAGGAGAAGGCCAGAGAACAATGAGGTGGGTTGACAGTGGTGACAACAGCAGGCGCAGACGGTGGTTGAGGGTGGTGCAGGACCGGGCAGTGTTGCATTCTGCTGTCCGTGGGTTGCCGTGAGTCCAACCGACTCGGCAGCACCCAGCCCCGGCCGCCACCTCAGGCTGACTCATGAGCGCTGGTCGGTATCATTGTTGGTTCGGGACGGCTGTGACAAGTCTCCATCCCTGTCAAGCCACCACGCCAGCGTCCCTGGTTCCGCCAGACGGTTTCAGGTGGGATGCCGGCATGAAGAAGGACCCTCGCTGTGGTCTTGAAGGGTCAAATGTAAATCGAACCCGCCCACTGCCGTAAGGTGATGTTGATTTTCCAGAGACCTGGTTTTCCAGGTTTACATGTCTGTCCCGGACCAGACCACCTCCTCTTTCTCCCACCAAGCAGCTGGTGGGTTTGAACCCCCTCTCCGTGGTTAATCCATTGTGCCTTCGAGGCACATCTGGGATACCTCCGGGAAATGCTGTTGATGACACCGTCCTCTTCGATTTTACATATTATCAAACATGTCAAGGACACACAAAGTCCGTGGGTTCCTGCTTGGCTTTCTGCAACTCGTGTTCACAGTAGAAAATAGAAGTCAGGTTAGAGAACCGGGGGTTTTGTGGGACACCGTGTGACACCCCGTATTCTCCACGGCTGTGGAAAGCATTACCCAGTCGCAGTGGAGTCGACCAAAGATAGTCATTTATTTCTCCCAGTGTCTCTGCGGGTGGGATTTGAGAGGGTCCCAGGTGTGCAGCTGTCGTGGGGGGTCTCCTTCGAAGCTACAGTCAGATGAGGAATTGCCAAGGAGCGGGGCCTGGAAGGTGATTTTTTTTCTTTGTGCGCATCGTCTGCTAAGGGTCTCCCGGACACGGCAACTGGCTTCTCCCAGAGAGGGCAGGCCGGGCAGGAGAGCAGTTCTTCCCGTACTCTATCTCACTGTGGAGTCAGGTCCCCAACCCTTGTTCACAGACGCTCACCACTGAGGACAGCCTTGGTGAGGGAAAGCCACCTGGCTCTGCCCTGTCCAAGACTGTGGACAGGCTTTCAGACCACCCCACGCCACGGGAGCTTGTCCTTTGCAGGAACTCGGCTTCCCTTCTTCTCCTTGTGTTCCTGTCGGACCATCTCCCCTGCCCCCAGTATTCCCAGTTCATCTGGACAAATCCCACTGGGGTCTGTTGTGAACATGTTCACCCTCCTTCCCAAACTGCCCCCGGTCCACCTAAACCCCTGCTCTCACAGGTACCCTGGCTCGACCTTCATGGACCACGTCTTACGTTACCAGGACACTCCCGGGGTCAAGATGATTGTGGTTCTTGGAGAGGTGAGTTCTTTAAACCAACACACAACTTTTATCTGATTGTAAATTGAGCCTCGATCTCAGCTTTTAGAAAAGCCAGGCATTTCTGTAGCTCACAAGTGACAGTCCCTGGTGAGCCGGATGCTCTGGACAGACCAGGGGGTTGTTTTCGTTTCTGGAGAGATCCTTATTTTTGTGTTTGTTTTGAAAGAATAGGTTTGGTGGATAAAGAGTTCTTAGTTGACAGTTTCTCCCCTCTCACGGGTGGTGCCATTCACCACCTGCTGGCCCTCGAGTGCAGGTGACTGTCCAGCTAGGTCATCAGAGAAGCTTTGCTCTGGCGGACGGCTGCCTGGTGGGCAGCGAGCGGGGAGGGCCCATTATTTCACAGTTGGGAGAGACCTAGCACCCCAGGCCTTGCTCATGCCTCTGAGCAAGTCTGATGCGAAATCGTCTTAGCACCCACAGAGTGGGAGAGGGCAGTGCCAGAACTAGTTACTGCCCCTTGACAATCCCTCCTGGCATCCCACCTCGATGCCCACCACTTCACCTCTTTTCTGCCCCTTGCCCACGGCCTGGGTGTCCCCATCCTGGAGCTGAGCTGTAGCTCCTAGGACACGTGGTGGTTTGGGGGCCCTCGCTGTCCGTGCGGCTCTGCTAACATGCAGGCTTTGGCCCGTCCCCCTCCATTGGCAGATAGGAGGCACCGAGGAGTACAAGATCTGCCGCGGCATCCAGGAGGGCCGCCTCACCAAGCCCGTGGTCTGCTGGTGCATCGGGACCTGCGCCACCATGTTCTCCTCCGAGGTACGTCCTTTGGAGCCTGCGCCTGGGCGCCAGTCCTCAAAGCAAAGCACGCCCCAGACACAGGGCTGCCCCGAGCTGGAGGGTGCCCTGCCCTCTACTCCCTCCGAAGCGTTCTGGGTCTGGTTCGGAGAATTCCCATCACGGAACTTGCTGGATTTCATGGGACCCAGAGTTTTCCAAGCTTCTTTGAATCTAGAATCTCTTCTCTTCCCACCCCCGCGGCCCCCCAGGTGGAGACCTCCAGAGACCCCATCGGGAGCCTGTAGTTCCCGGCTGTGTTCGTGGTCAGAAAAGCAGTGGTTCCTCAGCTGTGCACCAGTAGGGGCCACTGCGTCCAGAAGGGCAGGTTAAAATGCTGCCACCTGTGACCCAGGTGACCTTGGACTTTACCCCTCTGGCCTTCCATTTCCATCTTTGTAAGACAAAGCTATAGTTATTGGAAAGGTGAAATGAGTAGAGATCTTCAGGAAATGGTGCCTGGGTCACTGGGGTGGGGTGGGGTGTCTGGTGGCACGGTGGTTACAGTGCTGGACCACCAGCTGAAGGTCGAACATTCGACCCCACTGGATTGTCACTGTAGCGAAGAGAGGCGGTGGCTGCTTTCAGAAAGCCGGGCCTGAGAATCCGCACGCGCAGCTCCACGCGCTTCTCCAGGCTCGCTCTGAGTGGGGGCCGACTCGCCGCCACCGCCCGTGTTTATGATTGGAGTCCATGCTGTGGAGGTGACCCCCCTTCCACCCTGAGGTGCTGGCCAGGGCTTGGAGCCTGGTGTCCCATGAGGCGTCTTCCCTTTCACCACTGCTTGGTTAAAACACAGTGGTTGCCACTTCTGACTGGTTTGCTCTCCCCAACCGGCACTTTGTCCGTCAGCCCCCACGGTCTGCGGGGTTGACTGATCTTACCCACTCGGCAGTCACAGCGTGGGGCCCGGCAGTTCTTACTCTGTGGGCATATGGACCTGTAGTGGGCTCTGCAGTCGATTTCAGTTCATAGCCACCCCGCAGGTCGGGGTAGAACACCCCACGGGGCTTCCTGATTGAGTCTTCCCAGGACGTGGTCAGGCCTTGCTCCCCAGTGTAGCTGAAGGCTTTAATCTGCCCACCCGTCGGTGCCCGCCATGCCTTCCCCACTGCCCCAGCAGGGCCCCTGCAACAGTGTGGGCCTCGGGCGCCTTAGAAAAGACGGCATTTCTTAACAGGAAACCTGCTTTTGTTTCTGTTTTCGGATACCCTTTTCTCGGGAGCTCCTGCAGGTCTCATGCCAGTCCCGTCAAGCAGTATTGGACAGTTGCTACCATACGTTTTGTTTTCTAAGAATGTTTCGGTCCACGTTTTGGTTTGTTTTGGACCACAGGGATTTCATTGTCTGGCAGTACTAGGTCATAGTTTAGTTAGCTCGTAGCCTGTTTGGGAAAAAGACAGGGCTTTTTATTCTTTTTTTGTTGTTGTTGTTGTTTTTTTGCTTTTTTAACATTTTATTAGGGGCTCATACAACTGTTATCCCAGTCCATACACACATCAATTGTGTAAAGCGCATTTGTACATCATTCTCAAAACATTTTCTCTCCATTTAAACCCCCCACATTAGGTCCTCGCTTTTTACTCTTATAAAGAGTTACAGCCCCGACACTCAGGGCAGTTCTACCCCATCCTGGCTAAGGCCGCGGTGAGTGGCACCGGCTCGATGGCTGCAGGTGGTGGGAGCACTCACTCTGTAGGTGGCGCTGTTTCCCATGTGGTTCTGTCACATTGCTGCTGCTTATTTTGGGAGGACAGCGTTTGACTGGTGTGAGAGTAGTAGCTGACGATTGCGTTCCTACTGGAGTTATTGTTATGTTTAATCATTTTCGTTTCGGGTTGCTGAACTGGGTCACAACTTTGCTTCTTTTCAGTCTGACAGCATGAGAGTCAGTCGGTCTCTTACCCTTAAAGTCTCATCCAGGTATTTAAAAGCTTGATGATTTGATATCTGGGTTCCGAGGTTACTGCGTTATAGCTAAAGTTGTTTTTGTTTGTAAATGGGATCATTTTTGTTGTTGTTGTTCAATAGATTTGTTATTGTGGCTTAGGTTGGGGTGGGGAGGGGGCAAGTGAATCATCACTATTTAGAGCCTCAAGTCAGTGCTGACTCACAGGGACCCCCCTGTGGGTTTCTGAGACTGTAACTCTTTTTTTTTTTTTTTAATTAAAAGATCATTTTATTGGGGCTCTGACAACTCTTACTACAACCCATCTATCAGTTGTTTCAGGCATATTTGTACATATGCTGCCATCGTCCTTTCCTGGACGTTTACTTTCTGTTGCGCCCTTGGGATCAGCTCTTTTCTTCCTCCCCCACCCTCGTGGCCCCTTGATCGATTATGTCATTATTACTTTCATGTCTCACACCGACCGCTGTCTCCCTTCCCCCATGGTTTCTGCTGTTCTTTCCCCTGAAGGTGTGTGTGTGTGGTTGTGTGTCGATCCTTGCGATCGGTTCCCCCTTCCGCCCCTCTTCTCCCCCCTTCCCCTCCCCTTCTGGGATCACTGTTTCCATTCCTGTCCTGGATTCCGTGTGTCCTGAGCCTTATCTCTTATCTGTACCTGTGCACTTGCTCCGGGCTAGTCCAGAGTGAGTAGCAGCAGCACTGGGGTCATGATAGTGGGGTGAGGAAGCCTCAAGGAACCAGAGGAATCGTGTGTGTTCCATCGGTGCTTTACTGCGCCCTGGCTGACTCATCCCTTCCCTGGGACCTCTCTGTGGGGGATGTTCCATTGTCTACAGATGGGCTTTGGGTCTCCGCTCCAATCCCCCTCCCCGCCCCTTCTCAACAATATGGTTTTGTTTGTTTGTTACGGATCTTCTGATGCCTGTTACCCAGTCCCAGTGACCTCTCGTGATCACACAGGCTGGTGTGCTTCTTCCATGTGGGTTTGTTGCTTCACTGCTGGATGGCCGCTTGTTTGACTTCAAGGTTTTAAGACCCCAGACGCTATATCTTTTTAAAAAAAGATTAATTAATTAAGTTTTAATCATTTTATCGGGGACTCATACAACTCTTATCACAATCCATACATACATCAATTGTGTAAAGCACATTTGTACATTTATTGCCCTCATCATTCTCAAAACATTTGCTCTCCACGTAAGCCCCTGGCATCAGTTCCTCATTTTTTACCCCTCCCTCTCCGCTCCCCCCTCCCTCGTGAACCCTTGATAATTTACAAATTATTATTTTGTCATATCTTAACACTGTCCGACGTCTCCCTTCACCCACTTGTTGTCTGTCCCCCAGGGAGGAGGTTATAATGTAGATCCTTATAATCGGTTCCCCCTCTCCCTCCACCCTCCTGGTATCGCCACTCTCACCACTGGTCCTGAAGGGATCATCTGTCCTGGATTCCCTGTGTTTCCAGTTCCTATCTGTACCAGTGTACTCCTCTGGTCTAGCCAGATTTGTAAGGTAGAATTGGGATCATGATAAGGGGTGGGGAGGAAGCATTTAGGAACTAGAGGAAAATTGTATATTTCATCGTTGCTACACTGCACCCTGACTGGCTCATCTCCTCCCCGAAACCCTACTGTAAGGGGATGTCCAGTTGCCTACAGATGGACTTTGGGTCCCCACTCTGCACTCCCCCTCATTCACAATGGTATATTTTTGTTCTGATGATGCCTGATCCCTGATCCCTTTGACACCTTGTGATCGCACAGGCTGGTGTGCTTCTTCCATGTGGGCATTGTTGCTTCTGAGCTAGATGGCTGCTTGTTTACCTTCAAGCCTTTTAGACCCCAGACGCTGTATCTTTTGATAGCCAGGCACCATCAGCTTTCTTCACCACATTTGCTTATGCACCCACTTTGTCTTCAACGATTGTCTTGGGAAGGTGAGCATCATGGAATGCCAGTTCAATAGAACAAAGTGGTGGTGTTTTGAGAGGTGGGTCTGAACTGAGACCCAAAGTTCATCCACAACCTCAGTGTATTGTCATATAAATATATGTACATATGCCAATACCTCTGTTTTTATGGATTAATGTATTTACATATGTGCACACCTTTACTTCCTAGGTCCTTCCTCTGTTTCCTTTTACCTTCTTCCTGCCCCACCATCACGGTCCCCTGACTTCCGCCTCTTAGTAATTCCTCTCAGCTAGATTGCTGCTGCTCCAACGCTCCAGGATCGCTACATCCTCCTTGTTGTTGGTTTTATTTAATTCCCTAGTGGGTTCCCGGTCTGCGGTGTTGCTTGCTCACCCCCCGCCCCCCATCAGCCCAGTCTTTCTCCTGTGGAGCGGCTGGTGGTTTCGAACTGCAGACATGCAGATCTCAGCCCAGCTCACAGCCACTAGGACAACACCAGAGCTCCTCCCACTGCACCAGCCTGCCCCGAAGCACTCTCTTTCTCATGCTCTGCCTCCTGGCCTTGCTGCAGCTTGTTTGCCACTCCTGTGCTGTCACAGCTGTGCCCCGAGTCAAACAGGTTCACTGCACAGGTATCTTGGTGCTCCAGAGGGGCCACTCCTGCCTGCAGTCGTCCGCTGGTGGTGAGGTCTCCACACCCCAGCCCCTTTCCTCTGACCCTGCCGGTGTTATATCCAGCAGGCCGGCACTCACAATGAACCCTGTTAACATTCACTCACAGATGAATCGTCCAGTGCGGTCAGTCACTTCCCCCACCTGCTGACCCAGACCCACCAGGAAAACAAAGGCCACAGGTGGGAGTAACCCGGGCTATCGCTGGCAGAGCCATATTAAATGCTTCATTGTGTTGCAGTACTTAATTCCTATTAAGGTTTTCACTTTTAAAGGCAGTTCTGACAGGTTAATTGTGGTCATTAAGTTTTTTCATCCAGCCTCTTGTCCATCCGTGTCCCCTGAGCACTGCCTCAGAGGAAGCCAAGTGTGACTCAGAGGGTGGTCCTGGCTCTTGGCTCCAGTACACTACTCCGGCTCTGTGACCTTGAGTCAGCTGCCCCCCACCCCTCTGGTCTGTAAAGCAGGAGCATCGCAGGGCCTCCAGGAGGTCCCCTGAGGCACCAGTGAAGTGGGAAGTGCAGGCTGGCCTGAGGTCTGTGTCTGCCGGCGGACTGCCTTGGGATCCGCCAGCCTCATCAAAGCTCCCTCCCTTGACTTCCAGGTACAGTTTGGCCATGCCGGGGCCTGTGCCAACCAGGCTTCTGAAACGGCAGTGGCCAAGAACCAGGCTCTGCAGGAGGCAGGCGTGTTTGTGCCCCGGAGCTTCGATGAGCTTGGAGAAATCATCCAGTAAGTGACCTTGCCGGAGAGGCCAGCTTCTCCCTCCATGTGGAAGTCCCTCCCAAGGATAGCACCTCCCTAACCTCAGTGTATCTGACACTCCTGCTGCTTCGTAGGCCTTGATAGGTGGCCTCAGGTCCTCCCTCCCAACTTTTTGACTTTAGTTTTATCAAAGCAACTTATTACTCTTGCCCAGTTATAGGCCCTTTGGCCAGATGTTGAAATGCACCCAGTCTCGAAGCCTCCTCACTTGGCTGAGAATTGGGAGTCCCAATGGCCGTCTGGATATCCCATTGCCTTGCCTGGCTTCTCCGGCTTTAGATTCCACTGTCCAAAAAGCCCCTTGTAGAAGGGGTGGTGGGGCCATTGTGGCCAGCCCCCATTGTCATTTCAGTTTTGGGAATCCCACTGGTAAGAGGAGGTCCCTGATGGGAGAAGTACAGGGGGCAGAAAGCTGGAGGGTGGGGATCAGAGGATTGTTCCTGGGATCCTTAGAAAAGTCCAGAATGATGGAATCCATGTGGGCCTCTTTCTTCTGCCCCTCCCCGTGCCTCCCAGGTCTGTGTATGAGGATCTTGTGGCCAAAGGAGCCATCGAGCCTGCCCAGGAGGCTCCGCCCCCAACGGTGCCCATGGACTACTCTTGGGCCAGGGTAGGTGCTGCGTGCGTGCGTGCCAGCGAGGTGGGAGGCTGCTCGCCATCGGAAGCTGCCCGGGCATGGATTCTTGGTGCTAGGGTCAGCATGGGGTCACCAGTGAAACCATGTGGCGCCCACGAGGACCAGGGAAGGTCCTGGGATTTACCACCCAGGCATAGAGCCACTTGTCCTAGAGTTGTTTGTTTGGGACTTGCTAAGGGACCTCTCGGAATGAAGCAGAGTGTCCATTTTGCCGACATGCCCACAGGACACATGCTAAATGAAGAACAGATTTTCGTAATGGACAGATTCTTAGAAGTCTATCGACAGAGTGCAGTAACCCATTAGGAAATGACCTTTCTACATGAAACAAAAAGCTCAGCCGGATCTCATTATAAAAGGATTCAGAGTGAAAATTGTGATGTCAATTTTTTCCCTTAGTAGTTCAGTAAAGATCAAGACACTTTTGTATAAGGTGCCCTGTTTGGTGGGGGACGGGCAGTTGGGCAGTGTATCCAGTGTGAACATCTTCTGACCCAGCAGTTCCATCTCTAGAAGCTCGCTCACTGCCACTGTCAATGCTGGCTCATAGGGACCCTGTAGGACAGTCAGCTGCCCCTGTGATTTCTGAGATGTGACTTGACAGGAGCAGACAATCCTGTCCCCCTTGGACGGTCGGTAGTTCTGAACTGCTGACCTTTGGGATGGCAGCCAGGGCTTCCTCTGTCTAGGAGCTCCACCAGAGAGATGTGTAAGGATGATTTTTCGTTTCATAGCTGTTGATAAAAAAGAGCTCCCCAGTGGCATGAGGGGCATCATAAAGCTGGTGAAGAAAGTCCAGTACTTTTCTTTTTTTTTTTTTT